CTGAGCGACTTTTTCTGCGTTGGCAGAATTGGCTGAAAACTTGTACCCTGGGGTAGTTTGACCTCCTGAACATGAATATCACATCCGCTCGGCACGAAACCTCCTGGCGCCCGCGCTACAGGCGCTGGCGCCAAAATACCCAAATCACCGGCCTGTGGCGCGGGCGCCAGGAAGTTTCGGGCTGAGCGGATGTGATATTCGTATTCAGGAGGTCAAACTACCCCAGGAGACAACATTTGAGCCAAATCTGTCCACGGAGAAAAAAGTCGGTCAAACTGGCTCAATTCTGGATGGTTGGGGCAGAAAAGGGTAAATAGTGCCTTTACAAGAACAGTGGAAGCTGCAAGTTTATCGCTGGGGAAGAGATGGAAAACAAGAAAGGGATTTCTTGAATACACGCAGTTGAAGAAATACAAAACTTAATGTCTTACCTTATTGACTTTCCTCTCAGCATCCATCATTGCTGCATTGTGTACAAGTCCATCGATTCTATCCAATTCAAACTTGCCTGAAACGATATTATCATTGCTCGCTGCCAGTGAATCCAATGTTGCTTCGAGCAAAAATGGCTATAAATGAATGAACCTTTGCTTAATTTTTGAACGAAAGCTCGAATGTTGTCGAAATCCTCTAAGTCGCACTGTCTACAGTAAACCTGCTTATTTCGCGTATTCAAAACGATATCTCTTCTTACTTGAACGCATTTTTCACGATTCCTGAACACTCGATTAGAACTTATTCAACTTACAGCTGACCTTTCAACTCACCTACATGCCATAATTACCCTGGCATTTCGTTTGGCGAGTTCTTCAACAGTGGCCTGAATCAGTAGATAAACAGTAACGCACCCCAGCACCTAATGTCAAAAAAGACAAAACCCATACTTGTCCTATTCCAGACGTTGCTCCAGTAACGATATACGTCTTTCCTTCGAGGTTTTCATTCAGATCATATTTAGCACCAGATTGTGTAGCACTTAAAAATTATTAACAACACTCCTTTCAATAAACCGTAAGTCCGTCAGGTAAGTATGCTTCTCCAGTACAGTTTCATACTTGATTGGGGTGTGGAGCGTTACTTTCCAGTCGCGGCGATTGTGGAATGGTCACAGGGCTGTTGTCAACCGGACATTCCTTCGCTACGAGGGTCCTTTGCATTGCACTTAATGGCCGAGCACTTCGAAGGAGAGGACTAAGGAAGAGGAAAGAGATGAAGGAGAAAAAGAAGGAATGAGGAAGAAAGGAAGGAGGCTGCGCGGTTAACAGATATCCTGAGAAGGCAACACAGCACGTGCTGCTGGAGTGACTGACGCTGCATTCGTGTTAAAAACCAATCCGCTGACGGAACATCCCCCTCCAGGGAAAGTTCCTAGAAGATATGATCCCCCCCCTTCCCCTTCAGTAATTCCTTCTGTGGTACGACCTCCGTCCTTATTGCCCACACTAGCGACCATTTCATAAAAAATCTTCCCAATCATTGCTTTCGTCTCAAAAACTACCGTCAAGCGAGGCGAAGGGGGAGGGGGAGGGTCTACGATCGAAAATTTCTCTCGAGGCAAAAACCGACCTCGCTCCTTTCCGCGTCCGAGTATGACCCTCTAGCTTGGAATCCCC